CACACACACACACACACACACACACACACACACACACACACACACACACACACACATATTAATGTTTGTTTTCCCTCTGAGTGTGGTGTGGAGAGTACCAGGTCACTGAAACACTCTCCTATTCGGGTACTACTGAAACTCCCAGAAGTGAGGTAGGCATATGTTTCGCTGGGAGAAGTATGTTCGATGTGCACAGAGTGCATGTATACTTGTCTCTCGTCGCAACAGCAGGCGTTGGATATCATCGACCGGCGGCCACAATACGTCAGCCAGATGGAGCAGCAGTCTCTGGCGACAGAGAGCAAGGATGCTTGGAATTGAGAACGTGGCTGCTACAGATGCATCGTGTTCGAATTTCGGCCATGAGCCAGCAGGTATCAAAATAGGTGCCCAGGAAAGTGGCGGCCAGTCTTGTCGTTCTCCTCCTCCTCCTTCGCTGATACCTCCTGTGACATGTAGCCGTGTGTGTGTGTCTCACTCCGTCCATGTTCTGCCTCTTCTTCTCGACAACAGGTCTCGGCAGTCCTTTGCGACAGAAGAAGAGACAGATATGGAGGCTGGCAGTGGTGCAGATGGCATTGAGAAGCGGGAATATAATGTCGGTGAGGAGGAAGGCTTAGCCTGTTGTATAAGTGGTGAACGGTCAGAGAAGTCTCGCAATGGAACGGACAGTAGCGGTCGCAGGGCGGAGGATTTGCCGTGGGTTGGTGCGACGCCATCTGCGCTCGGTTATCGCATGCCGGCAGAATGGGAACCACATGACGGATGCTGGATGGGGTGGCCGGAACGGCCCGACAACTGGCGGAACAACGCCGCTCCGGCTCAGGCAGCCTTCGCTGCGGTGGCAGCCGCCATCAGTCAGTTCGAGCCTGTGACTGTGTGTGCAAGCGCTTCTCAATGGAGCAGAGCTCGAGAGATGCTTCCTCGACATATCCGCGTGCTGGAACTATCCTGCAATGACTCCTGGTTCAGAGACATGGGGGCTATGTTCGTCGTAAAGGACAACGGAGGAGGAGAAGGGGGAGGAGGAGGAGGAGGAGGAGGAGGAGGAGTGGGTACTGGGAAGACGAGACGGGAGATTGCTGGCATTGACTGGAATTTCAATGCATGGGGAGGACTGTATCGTGACTTCAGTCTCGATGTGTTGGTCGCCGGGAAGATGCTCGAAGTAGAGAGGATTTTGCGATTCGTGAACGACATGGTCCTTGAGGGTGGGAGTGTGCATGTAGATGGGGAAGGGACACTAATTACCACAGAGGAATGCTTGCTGAACAAGAACCGAAACGCTTCGATGACACGGGAAGAGATAGAAGGGCAGCTCAAGGCGTATTTGGGAGTGCAGAAGATAATATGGTTGCCACGGGGACTCCATGGAGATGTGCAGACAAATGGCCACGTGGACAACCTAGCTTGCTTTGCTCGGCCGGGAGTTGTTTTGCTCTCTTGGACGGATGATGTGGACGACCCTCAGCATGCCATTTCCGTCGAAGCACTCTCTGTTCTCTCCCAATCAACAGACGCCAAGGGGCGCCAGCTGGCAGTAATCAAGCTGCATGTGCCGGGACCGTTACATGTCACGCAAGACGAATTACAAGGTCTGGAGGCACCGACTGACGATCTAGACCTGTCTGAGCTGTTCAGTGCCGATGGGCGGCTGGCAGGCTCCTACGTGAACTTTTACGTCGCAAACGGGGCCATAATTGCGCCTTCATTTGGGGTCCCACAGGATGCAGCGGCTGAACAGGTCCTGAAGCGAGCTTTCCCAGATAGGAAAGTGGTGATGGTTCCCGGACGAGAGATACTTCTGGGAGGGGGGAATATACACTGTATAACACAACAACAGCCAGCGGCATGCAGGCAATTGGTTGTGCACACCTGAGGGCTGTACTCCCGTTAGCACTTTTCAATAGGAACCTGACCGTTTCTCTAGCGAGATGCATCTAAAGGGAGACAGTTGTACATTTCTTCAGCCATCAGCATAAAGGGGGAGGTAGTTATTCTATGTTCTTGGGCCATCTGAAGACATGGTCTAGGTCTCTGCATGCTGCAAATGCCTCTGAAAGGCGTTTCGTGTTCCTCCCATCGCGGCCGATCCTGAGCCAGATTCTTCCCGCCGTGATAATGATCCCAGTCATGATCCCGATCCCAAGAATCCCGCCTTCATCATGATCCCGATCCCATCCTGTTTGCAATCCTCATTCCCGTCTCCATCCCTATCCCATTCGTGATGCCGATCCCATCCTGGTCTGTCACTTTCATCCCGATCCCGATCCCGATCGTGGTCCCCGGGTGGTTATGCGGCCCAGGCGAGAGAGACTCCTGCAAGGAGGGCATATGTAGCGTGTTACGTAGCAACAACCATGAGCGTATAGGGGAACCTTCTACACCCATGGGCCAATGCAAAGGCCAATTATGGGTGTCTTGGAGTCTGTAGGCCATGAGTGGCTCTGAATGGCAGCATTCATCCTCCCCATCGCAGCCCTTCTGTGGTGATACAGACAGTGATCGTGATCCCGACTCCAGACACGATGTTTAAACTGAACCCTGATGCAGGGGAAAAAAAGGAAATAAAAGAGACGGTCATACATCTGACCAAGTTTCCTTTTGAAAAGAGCCGCCCAATAGAAAGAGGGTCTAAGAAAAAAAAGAAAGAGGGTCTGATCAGCAGAGCGGAGATGGGGTGCCATCAAGGAAAGCATTGGGCCGCCAGCCCACAACTGGTATCAACAGGTGCAGATATAGGAGAAACGACTTTCAGGATTTTTTTTAATTATTATTATATTTTATTACTATTGTTTTTTAAAAGGGCGACGACCTTGAGATTTTGAGATGGATATCATCATTGAGCTGACCGGCCCGGGGCAATTCGTAAATATTTACTTTTACTCATGAAGTTTCATTGTCTGGATTGCAACTCAGGTCTGTATTTCAACAGTTCATGGGTGTACCCACTCAGCTAGGCTCTTGGGTAGTTTTTGCTTCAGGGTAGCTGAAGTTTGGTTTTCTCAGATTGGCTACAAAAGGGAGGGTAGGAAGAGAAGTGTGATAACTAAGTGAAGGAGGGGTGAGGCTAGAAGGACCAACGAGGTGCACTCGGTTGCTAATATTCCGCAGTAGGAAGTAAGAGGGATTGAAAGGGTTGGAGAGTGCCAGAAGTAGGCGGACCCAGGTCCACCCTGATGGTTTAGTCAGGGCTTTCTGGAGGGGGCATTACCCCCAGATAGAAGGCTAGGCTAGTATGGATTCGCTCCTTTGTTAAATTTCCCTTTCTTTTGGGTTGCCTGTTATGACCGTTTGATCTGTTTATTCTCGTTGCTCTCCGGTGAGGCCAAGGTCTGCCGGACTTTCATTATACAAGGCTATGCCAAGTGTTGTTGGGGTAAAACCCACAAACCTATTCTGGGTAATGGTCCCAGGTGTGACTGATTCATTTCAAGGTTGTTTGTGAGGAATTCCCGGCCTCATTTTTCATGATAATTACTTTCCCCCCCCCCCCACAAAAAAAAAAAAAAAGATGTTGTGGATTAGTGAGCATAGAAATAGTAGGACCAGTCTGTGGATGCTTTTTAAACCACCAGTACTTCCTAAAGTCGTGCCCGTAAACAAGCCACAATTTTAGGAAACGTACAGGCCACTACGTGAGCACCCAAATTCATCAGAGTAGAAATGTTTCCACGGCCGATAGCTGGGCCAAGTACTGGTGGTTCAAGAATTGCAATTGTTTTTTTGTTTCATTTTTCTGCAGGAGCGTTTTTTTTTTCATTTTTCTGCAGGAGCGGGCTCGGCCTGAAGTTGTGGCCTTATTCGATGGGTGCCAGTATGCTGTTGATGGGAAGATTATAGGCACTGGGGTCCAGGGATCTGGTTGAAGAAGAGGGAGTTGCTTAGGTGTATAAGGGGCAAGGCATTAGGTAAGGCCTCATTCAGTAGCAATGAGATTGGTCTTGCAATGTTCCGCCTGAAAAGTCGATCAGCGGGATAGATGAAACACGTCGAGGGTCGCCTGCACGGTGGGCTCGATATGAATGTGAGTTTGGATTTGCTCTTTCGGAAGGAAAAAAAGAAGAAAAAAAAGAAAGATTCAGATCCCAACCCTTATCTACGTTGGGATCCCTACCCTTATCTTCATCGTGCTCCCAGTCCTGACCCTGGTCCTGATCCTGTTGCCAATTCCTCTTTGTCACTCTGCTGGGATCCCTATCTTATTTTGTGGGCAAAAAGATTCCATCACTAGCGGGAGTGCGTATTGTCATCCCTAAGCCACCATGTGATGCCCAACCTCACGCCCAGCGCGACTTCCTGATCGGAGTGGGAGCGGGCCTGGAAGTTGCGAAAAAAGAGGGGGTGCCAACGATTTTAGGAAAGTGGGGTGGAGTCCCAGGTCGGAACTGGGATCTCCGGTGTCAAGGTTCCAAGGGCAAAGATGCAAAGGGGTTTGAATGATGAAGGGGCTTTCTCAGTTTGCGGTGTTCATGGCCGGATACTCAGGATGGCCGGGTTTGGCGCCTAGGACGAGTCCCTATGCGGTGTACAGGAGGGACACAATAGGTATCTCATCGCTCAGTACACAGCGCCTGCTGGATTCATAAATCTCAGAGTCTGACGTGGACAGTCTCAGTCGAGGGTGGTGTTCTTGACGCTTGGCTTCGGTACAAGCCCGCCAGACAGTAGGGGTAGTCGTGATCGAAAAGAGACCGAAGTCCATGCCATGAATTCACACTAATGTTGCCATTCCTATCCATGCAGAAGTATACCTACAGCCCGGACGTGGGTGAGTTATGCAAGCGCGTGTATGCATGACGGGCTGTCTTATTGGCTGAGCGTAGCATATACGTGGGTTCGCATAAGATCCGTTCACCAGACAATTCAAGGCGACCAACTTCATTATTTCCCATTAATTCTAGCGGACTACTGTTAGGCATTCATCCACGTTCCCCAGTCATTCAATCTTCCGACATAAACAGGAAGCATGCATACAAAATTGAGACAATCAAGCCGTAGTCATCATACACATCATCATCCATACAAGGAAAGAGATATGGGAGATACTTTGAAGAAAGGAAAGGATCTATAGTCCGCAACTACAAAAACGAAAATGACGAAGCCGAAACCAAAAATTTCGAGAGGGCTAGGAAAGAAGTCCCCACACACCCCAACACCCCACGCTTTCTCGCTGCTTCACCATCCTCCTCCTTATTCCGGTGTAGGAAGTCCGTCGCCTCGCACCTACTAACAACTCGGAGTTGTCACCCCGCTTAGCCCGAGTACGCACACCGGGTTCGCTAGTGCTCCACAATCTGTTGTGGCCGCACGTCAACCCCGCACACTCGCCACCAGCTCGTCGGATCGCCGAACTCCAAGCTCACCTCTTTGTATGCTCCTACTCATTAGTTGATACTCTTGACCGTGCTAACTTTCCCGAGTTTAGAGCTTGCAAAATTTATAGCAATTAGCATTTGTGCGAGATAGTCGTGATTACGCTAAGGCGGGGGGAGAGAGAAAGGAAGCAGGTGCCTACAGTCGGCATGCCTGGCCCACGGCGTGGGGGACGTGGCCACTCTCCACGCATCGATCTAGTCATGCACCGCTCTGGCCAATAAGACAAAAGGGAAGAAGGCACATGTTTTGACGCACAGAGAAGCCAAGAGGGAGAAGGTTACAGTTACACTCGCACTCGCCAAGAAAGGAACAAGAGAAAATTACAGTTGAGATTATAATTAAGGCGCCGCAGAGGTAGAGTGCAGGACAGAGCGCAGCAAAATGCGCGCGAGTAAGGAGCATTGTGCCGTTACAAAAAGAAATACGACGCCCCTAAAATCCTAGTCTAATTAGAGTCCTAATTTCGAGCGGTCGCGAGGTCTCCCGCATTTTTTCCAAAGCGTTCAAAAATTCAAAAAGATTTCCCCCCGCGCTGACGTGCCAAAGTTTCCTACTCGAATTTCCCAAAAGAAAAAGAAAATTGCGTCAACCGTTATTCCTGCGCTCACTAAGGCACGTCCTGACCACCAACCGTTGTGGGACCAAACTCTCACAAAACAGAGAAGAAAGGAACGAAAATGGGGGTGCTTATGCAATTTGATTACACCCATCCGACCCCCCCCCTCTCTTCCAAAAGTGTAATCGCGCAGAAGTTGCGGCTATCGGAAGATAGATCGTCATATATGTGACGCCTAGGGGGTTCCAGCCTTTATGCAAGCTCCTGCTTGCATGCATCATGCTTGTGGCTATGGGGAGAAGAAAAGGAATAAGAAGGAGAAGGAGAAGGAAACCATGATGCCACTATGCAGTTGTAAGGGTCTCGTTGTCTTCCAGATGATATTATCATGGTCTCGCGTTCTTCGAGTCCCCATTTGCCCTATCCCCGTCGCTTCTTAGCTCCGCCTTGTTGTGATCATCGTTATTGTTGCTGCTGCCTCGACGGATATGGCACTCTCAAGACGGAGGGTGGAGGTTGACGATGAGATTGGGGGAGCGGAGGGAGGAATCGTGATAGTGATCGCACCCCAATGGGAATGTCGGCATAGCGCACCGATTGATGGACGCAGGGGAAGCGATGATTACGATTGGAAAGGGAGGCAAGGTAGTCTTGGTAGAGGATTAAGAGAGTACATAGGATGGTCGTGCGAAACTGTCCGCTGTTGTCGCATGCGGGGATTGTCTCCGTAATCATGCAATAGACTAAGTTTCGCCACACCACGCTGAAAAGGAGAATATGGAGGCGGAAAGAGGAGACGAAGGACTGGATGGTCAGGTGAGGGAAGATGGTACTACATATGAGATGAGTAAGTGGAACTGATAAAACAAGGAAGGAGGGAAAGGGTGCCAAGTAGAGGGGAATGGCGGGCGGCCTTCAACCTGGTGGAAGGTGAGGTAGTCAAGGGGACGGCGGGATAATGACTGCGATGTCCCTCTTTTTTCCAGCATGTGGATGTATGCGAATCGAGGCGCGAGCGACAGGAGGGGGAGAGGGACTTTGGGCTCTTCTTCTGCAACATTCCGCTCCTGTGGTGGTGAAATTGTGTTCTTCCTCTTTTGTAGGTGGCTCATGATCTCTTGTGGGGTCGTCGGGTGCTGACTGATCCATAGGCTACTTACCTTTTGTGCACTTTTTTGCTCGTTCTTCGGCTTCGTCTTCTGTCGCGGCGCGTTCTTCCCCCGATTCCTCCTCTGAGTGCTCACTATAATTAGGATTACTAGATCCCGATTCGGTACTTTCCTCTGCTTCACTCTCGGAGGTGACTGCGGCCAACGATCCAGCCATGTCTCAGAAATACGGATCAATTACCTCCTCCGAGTCCAAATACTTGTCCACCGATGGATAATAGCGGTTCCGATCGTCCTGCTAAGAGCAACGTGTCCACAGCAGCTGTGGCTTCAACGCCCATTGCATAGTGACATGCGAGGGACTCTAATCGCTGCAGGAGATTATATCCAGGGGCAGATCGTTGAGGAGTTGCGCAAGGAACACCAGCAACTCACCCGTAATTGGTCCAAGACGGTCGGGTCTCAGCGATCCGAACAAGATCCCCAACAACTCTCCTTCTATGTTCGTTCCCCACGCCAGAACGATCAACAGCACGACCTCGTCGTTAGTGATATCCTCCCTATCCACCACGTCGGACTGCTCAGACTAATGAAACACGATCTGTACCACGCATAAGTTAAGTGCCACGTAGGCCTCCAACCACTTCGCCCACCTTTCCTCGTCCAGAATTGGCACCGGTATCGCCTCCACCTGGAAGGAGACATGCGAATGGACGGGGGCTATCAGAAGAGAGGGAAGTCCGACGACAGACTGGATGTGGAGAAGCGGTGCTGGTTCATCGGGACTGGTACGAGCTCCGAAAGAATTATCTCGGCTCCGTATGGTGCACCCAGATCCGATGTACGCCGATGCTGCCCATTTGGACAATCCGATCCCTTGGGCATGCAAGCCTCTTCCCCCACGCGTCCGCCAATTCTCCCGCCCAAGCCCGTATTTGATTGAACATGCTCAAATGAAGGTCTTCGTCGAGCGCGACAAGGTCCCCACTGAAGGAGGTGATCCCCGTGATGTGGTTGACTCCCGGAGGAGAAAGTCGCAGGAAATCTAGTGCCTCAGCCAATACCTTTCCTCGGATTGCGTTATGGGCGAATTGGAACTCAACAATTGCGTGTAACCCGACCGTATTGTAGAACTGCATGAATCGAAACAGGTCTGGGCTGCGTTGTGGATGATGCACCTGCCGAATAGAAGAGATAAAACCCCATGGTGTCAATATGCGTCGACTGATTACTTGCTCCGATGTAAAACTCATGGTGACGGTGGGGAAGAACAGAGTGAGGTTCTTAGAGAGAGAAAAATAAAAGATTAAGGCTCCTCGCTGTCCCACTCGGAGGTCAGGGGAGAGTCGGGAGGTGAGGAAGGTAGATAAGGGACGAAGATAGGGACACGTGGCGGATGATGGGTCGTGTCGATCCGCTACCCGAGACT